TTTGTTGGTCTCAGTCTCACTGCCGTTTCAATTTTTCGATTTCAATTGTTTATTCCTTGATAGAGGAAGCGGGATCCTAGTGCTGTCACTAGCTACCCCTGTACAATGACACCAGAAGCATCTGGCAAGTGTGACAAGTATATACAGTATAAATATTATAAAGGGGCTTACTAAAGCCTATGGAAGGAAGGATATTCCTTTAACACATAATCAATGTTATTTACATAATATCTGGCCAGTATGGGGAGGATCATCGTGTCTCCGTCAGGGGGTCGTGGAGTGGTGGTCCAGCAGGCGTTGTGTGTGGGGACATCTTAGGAGGTAGTGCTCACTGCCGTTAAATGTCGTAAATCTCTCAGTGATTCGAAGATTATAAAATTCTCTCTGAATAGACGGAAGACTTATTGAAAAACTCTTAAATTTAGTTCATATGGATGTGATGGTTTTAAGTTTTTACTTAATGTAAACACACCATCTTGATTTTAATATTGCACCTAAATTAATCATTTTTATGGGCATATTAAAATTATATCAGTTTCTTTATATTATTCATTTATTCATCATTAGAAGTTCACTGTGAATAAAAATGCAGAAACAAGAGAAAATAATTAAATTCACGAGGAAAATTTGAGACAAGAAACACGTGACCATTGTTCTGTTGGTGTCCAGATTGTTGACGTAATTCCCTGTACACTTGACGACATCTGGTGTCACCTTGAGGGTCGTGTAATAATAATAATAATAATAATAATAATAATAATAATAATAATAATAATAAAGGGTTTATTGAAAGAGTATGGCAGCCGGAAGGCTGAAAATATGCTGTTACATAATTGGGGAATGGGCCACTTGATTGACAAATAATGTACAAGTAACATAATTGATACTAATATGATATATAATAACAAGGTGGGGAGTAGGTCATACTTCAGGGCATTTCAACATAGTAACTGCAAAAAGGTGAGATGGCTGGGAGTGAACACTGGTTGATTACGAGTTGTTGATAATTTATACAATGTGTGTGTGTGTGTGTCATTGGTTATGTTAACAATTACGTAAGAATTAAAATAGAGGTTAAAATCGCAATTTTCCCCCACCTCTCCTACACGTGTCTCACTCAAGTAGAAGTTGCCAGGTTAGTGCCACATGTGTCCCGAGAGTCGAACCCAGGAGCCGAACCTGAGAATCGAAGTTGAGTGTCAGTGGAGTTTGAAGTTGATGTTATAATGTTACGACAGCGCTTCTACAACACCTAGGAAGTTAAAGGTTGTAGTAATGTTAGTAAAGACACACGTCCATCAGCAATTATAGATTGTGAGAGATAGAACTGTGTGATGATATATGTGGCAGCTTAGATCAGCCTAGTGGAGTAGGGTAGTTCTCTCATCTCCCTCCAGAGGGAAGAAGGAATTAACGTAAGAGTCGTTAAGAATCTTATAATTATCTTGAGTTAATTGGTGCCTGGGAGATGTAATTGATTTGAGTTGTCATTGAGTGAATTATCCCAGTAATACTGTAGTTATATACTGTATCTCTCTCTCTCTCTCTCTCAACTCCTGAAACAGCCTGTGTGTCTGCCTCCTTCCTGGCCTGCTTGTCTGTCTGTCTTCCAACAACCATACAGACAGACAGACAGACAGACAACAGGAAATACCATGATGATGCTTTAACTTTTTTTTTTACTTTTCTTGGGAATTTTGTTCTTGAGAAATTTAAAATAAAAGCTGTTGTCTTATTATGAAGGTGAGATGAGTGGGGCTGGAGATGGTGTTGGAGGCTGTTGGTGTTGAGGGAGGGCTGTTGGTGTTGAGGGAGGGCTGTTGGAGGTAGCGTAGGGGGAAGGTTTTGGAGGTGATGGTGTAGGGGAGTGTTACCGGTGAGGGGAGTGTTGGAGGTGATGGTGTAGGGGGTTGGTGTAGGGGAGTGTTACCGGTGAGGGTGTTGGAGGTGATGGTGTAGAGGTGTTGGTGGTGTAGGGAGTGTTACCGGTGAGGGGGTGTTGGAGGTGATGGTGTAGGGGTGTTGGTGTGGGTGTTACCGGTGAGGGGGTGTTGGAGGTGATGGTGTAGGGGAGTGTTGGGGTTGGTGTGGGGGTGTTACCGGTGAGGGGGTGTTGGAGGTGATGGTGTAGGGGTTGGTGTAGGGGTGTTACCGGTGAGGGGGTGTTGGAGGTGATGGTGTAAGGAGTGTTGGGGTTGGTGTAGAGTGTTACCGGTGAGGGGGTGTTGGAGGTGATGGTGTAGGGGTTGGTGTAGGGGAGTGTTACTGGTGAGGGGGGTGTTGGAGGTGATGGTGGGGGGTTGGTGTGGGGGTGTTACCGGTGAGGGGGTGTTGGAGGTGATGGTGTAGGGGTTGGTGTAGGTGTTAGGTGAGGTGTACCGGTGAGGGGTGTTGGAGGTGATGGTGTGGGGTTGTGGTGTGGGGAGTGTTACCGGTGAGGGGTGTTGGAGGTGATGGTGTAAGGTGTTGGGGTTGGTGTAGGGGAGTGTTACCGGTGAGGTGATGGAGGTGATGGTGTAGGGGTTGAGTGTTACCGGTGAGGGGTGTTGGAGGTGATGGTGTGGGGTTGGTGTAGAGTGTTACCGGTGGGGGGGTGTGTTGGAGGTGATGGTGTAGGGGTTGGTGTGAGGTGTTACCGGTGAGGGGGTGTTGGAGGTGATGGTGTAGGGGGTTGGTGTAGGGTGGGTGAGGGTGTTGGGTGGTGGGTGTAGGGGTTGGTGTGAGGAGTGTTACCGGTGAGGGGGTGTTGGAGGTGATGGTGTAGGGGGGTTGGTGTGGGGAGTGTTACCGGTGAGGGGGTGTTGGAGGTGATGGTGTAGGGGTTGGTGTGGGAGTGTTGCGGTGAGGGGTGTTGGAGGTGATGGGTAGGGAGTGTTGGGGTTGGTGTAGGGAGTGTTACCGGTGAGGGGGTGTTGGAGGTGATGGGGGGGGTTGGTGTAGGGAGTGTTACCGGTGGGGGGTGTTGGAGGTGTGGTGTGGGGGTTGGTGTGGGGAGTGTTACCAGTGAGGGGTGTGTTGGAGGTGATGGTGTAGGGGGTTGGTGTAGGGGAGTGTTACCGGTGAGGGGTGTTGGAGGTGATGGTGTAGGGAGTGTTGGGGTTGGTGTGAGGAGTGTTACCGGTGAGGGTGTTGGAGGTGATGGTGTAGGGGTTGGTGTAGGGAGTGTTACCGGTGAGGGTGTTGGAGGTGATGGTGTAGGGGTTGGTGTGGGAGTGTTACCGGTGAGGGGTGTTGGAGGTGATGGTGTAAGAGTGTTGGGGTTGGTGTGGGGAGTGTTACCGGTGAGGGTGTGTAGGGAGGTGATGGTGTGGGGGGTGGTGTGGGGAGTGTTACCGGTGAGGGGTGTTGGAGGTGATGGTGTAAGGGAGTGTTGGGGTTGGTGTGGGGAGTGTTACCGGTGGGGGGCTGATGGAGGTGATGGTGTAGGGGGTGGTGTAGGGGGGTGTTGGGAGGTGATGGTGTGGTTGGAGGTGATGGTGTAAGGGAGTGTTGGTGTTGGTGTAGGGGAGTGTTACCGGTGAGGGGAGTGATGGAGGTGATGGTGTAGGGGGGTGGTGTAGGGGAGTGTTACCGGTGAGGGAAGTGTTAGAGGTGATGGTGTAAAGTGGTAATGTAGGATTGTTATGGGGTGTTGGAGAAAGGTGTTGGAGATAGTGTTGGAGGTATTCTGGGATATAAAATGGCCTCTACTAAGCACTGAGACCTGACTATACCTCCTAACATTATGAAGTTAAGAGTAAAGACTAAAATATATATATAATTAACCTGTGAACTTTGAAGAATGTTTCATCGTTTACTGTATTACGACCTTCTGCCAACACCCTGCAACATTCTTCCTGCAACACCGAGCAACACTACCATAACCTTTCCCAGTTGTTTTTTGGTATGATTTTTAACTCAATTATATTCTTAACAAACGCCATTTAACCGATGGACCTTGAACACACACCCACACACACACACACACACACACGTGGTAAATAGTTTCTTAAATCACGACTTAACCAGCTGGCCCTTGAAGTGGAGAGTTAACCAGCTGGCCCTTGAAGTGGAGAGTTAACCAGCTGGCTCTTGAAGTGGAGAGTTAACCAGCTGGCCCTTGAAGTGGAGAGTTAACCAGCTGGCCCTTGAAATGGAGAGTTAACCAGTTGGCCCTTGAAGTGGAGAGTTAACCAGCTGGCCCTTGAGGTGAGAGTTAACCAGCTGGCCCTTGAGGTTGAGAGTTAACCAGCTGGCCTTTGAGGTGAGAGTTAACCAGCTGGCCCTTGAGGTTGAGAGTTAACCAGCTGGTCCTTGAGGTTGAGAGTTAACCAGCTGGCCCTTGAGTTACCATGACAACACTACAGCATCCCCTGAGTTACCATGACAACAGCTGGCGGGCGTAACACTCACCAACACGTTTTGTTGATATTAAGATGTTTGTGATGATGGCCGTGACGGGGGGAGGGGGAGGCGTTATGGAAGGGGAGGGCGTGATGGAAGGGGTGGGCGTGATGTGTCTTGTAAGAAAAGAAAGTTAAGGGAAAGTGACGACGGGGATTTAAACCTACACACACACACCGGTATAAATATCACCTGTATTTACTGGATGTTAAGATACTGCACATTCATTGTTTAAACAAGTTGGTAAGTAAGTAATGTGGACGTAAAATATAAGAAATAAGTTAATGAATCAAGGCTGTGTGTTGTTATGGCTGAACGTTGTACGTCTGGCAGTGTTGTGGTCAGCTGAATGTGGGAGGGACGAGTCAGGTGCTCGCTGCCGGAGATCTGGTTAGAACTGTCGCACCGCTCCTGTGGGTAAATTATTATTAATATTATTACTGTATAACTTTTATTATTAGTATTCTTAAAAGTAGAAGTAGTAGTAGTTGTAGTGGTATTATTATTATTATTATTATTATTATTATTATTATTATTATTATTATTATTATTATTATTATTATTATTATTATTATTATTATTATTATTATTATTATTAACAAGTCTCTCCTCCACAGGGCGGGGACTTACGAGCCAATATTGAGGGTCTCCTTAAGAAGTTTCGAGTTACTAAAGAAAACGAGAAGGTATGTAAATATTAATAGGTTCGTGGTAACTCACTCAAGCTTGATGTAAATATTATTAGGCTTGTGGTCTCTGTCTCTTTGTGCCTGTCACTCTTTTCTTTCTTTCTGTCTGTCTGTTCCACCTCTCTCGTTACTCCAATTACAGCGAATAAACAGTACATAGGTTATTTAAAACAGTGGAATCTACCATTGAAAACGATTTAAGTTTATTAGATTAATTGAGAGTTAACAGTGAAAATGGCAGTGATCTAAACAGGGTAAAAGTGAACATTTGAAGTGAAGAAAATACACTGAAACTTGAATCGGTGAAATATGACGGCGATTGTTTGAAACATGGGTATTGAAACAGTGAAACGTGATTGTGAAGCAGTGGAACAATACAGTGAAGCTTTGATATGTGACAGTGAATTTCTGAAACATGGCAGTGCATCTCTGAAACGTGATACTGAATCTTTGAAGCGTGACAGTGAATTTTGAAACATGGCAGTGATTTAAGTCATATGTCAAAGTAGATACAGTGAATCTTGCAGTGAAGCTAATATGATGTGAGCCACTGTAAATGCAGAGTCCAGAACAGCAGCAGCAGAGCAGCAATGATTTTATGTGACCGATCATGTTGTGATACAGTGAAAAGATAATTAGTGAAGTGACAGTGAAACAAAAGTGAAACTGACTAAATATTTTTATTATTATTGTTATTGTGGTGAGACAGTGAAACAAGCAGTGAAACCGTGATTAATTATCATTATTCCAGTGAACAGTGAAATGGCACATAGAAAACCAGGATATATATTGAAACCAGTGAAACACAGTGAAAATGAACAACTGGGATGTGGTTATAATAATATGAAGTGAGTTAGAGCAGTGAAACGCAGTGAATCATTGTACAGACGCGGAATGAATCACTTCGAGAATGAACAGTGAAACTCGGATTAAAAATGAGATGATTTTGCAGTGAAATCCACCTTAGGAAAACAGTGCAATGAGAGAGGTGACGAGTGTGATCTTAACTACCTTCTAACATGCTTAATTACTTGTCAAACGTAATATAGTAGTTAATTACCCTAATGATAAGAAAACATAATTCGTCTCTTAAATACATGTAATAAACTATATAATGGTCCTTAGATAACAGGGAAACAAGACGAGGTCCTTAATTACCCAGAGAACTATCCTAAAATGTCTAATGACCCCCTTAATTACCCCTAACTATCATAACCGTGGCTAATGAGGTTGTTTGTGTTGCAGGAGAGCGAGATCTTCACACTGGCCAACCTGGATAATGGTTGTATCCGCAAGTTTATTGTGAAGAAAGTCGACGAGTCGGTAAGTGTCTCTTATTATTAGTAGCTGTTGTAGCAGTTGAACCTAACCTAACGTAATGTAACTAACCTAACCTAACCTAACGTAATGTAACTAACCTAATCTAAAGAAATAAAGCGTCCACCCTCCTCCTCAAACCACCCTCTCATACTCGACCCAAAAAACAACCAAACACTTAAGTATTTACTCACACAACCTGGTACTTGTACAAGCTTACACACACTGGCGGATGACCTGGGGCGTTGTGTGGCCTTGTGTGGGAGGGTGGGGGGGACACATCCACACACACATACATACATCCACACACACACAAGAGAAATCAGGTCCCATAGGCCTGACGATACGGCTCTGTATCACTGTGGTCGGTACTACACCACAACCGTCTACACTTGTGGATCGAACCACCGACCCCAGGAACTGGAGGTGAGCGCTGTAGCCACTCGACCACCCTCCGCGCTCCTCATTATAAAACAAAGTACCTTTTAAGTTGTAAAATACACCGTCATATTTATTACCCTCATTAGCGAGGTCGTAGTGTGGGAGTGTGTTTAGTCGTGTCTGTCTGTGTTTGTGTGTGCTTTTCTTTGTGTGTGTCATCATCAAACTTGGGTCAAGGTCAGTCCTCCTCGGGTCTTAGTGCCGGGATCGAGAGGTCACACCTGAAGGTCATTATGGGGGTGATAGTTCAAGGTCACATACGGGAAGGGGGGGTCAGCGGAGAGGAAAGTTAATGTGTGTTATATATTATTATGTGTGTGTGTGTGTGTGTCCCTGTGTGTGCGTGCGTGTGTGCGTGTGCCCCCCCCCCTTCCCACCACAACACGCAGTTCATAATTATTTTTTTTCTTCTCTATTATCTTTATTTCTGTGTTCGTTTCGCTTCATTATTTCTTCTATTTCCTTTTTTATTTTGTTTTTCCGTCTTTGCTTCACATCCTGTTATTGTGTGGTGACTTTTGTTTCTCCGTCTGTCTCTCCCTTTTTGCCTTTCATTTTCTTTCTCTCTCTTTGTTTTCACTTACAATAAAAATGGCAGATGAAATTTAATGTTGACAAATGTAAAGTACTTAGTCTAGGAGATGTAAACAGAGAAACCAGATAACAGATGAACAACGATGTTATAGAGAAATCTGAATGTGAGAAAGACTGAGAAGTAATGATAAGTAGGAACCTTAAGCCAAGTAAACAATGTGTATTTGCTCGAAACAAGGCTAATAAAGTACTTGGGTTCATACAAAGGAGTGTTAGTTACAAGACTAGCGAGGTCATCCTAAAACTATATCTTGCGCTTGTGAGACCTCACTTGGATTACGCAGTTCAGTTCTGGTCACCGTACTTCAGAATGGATGTAGAATCCCTAGAAAGAATTCAGAGGCGAATGACAAGATTAATCCCGGGCATTAGGAACCTTGAGTACAGAGACAGATTAAAGCATCTCAATCCCCGAGAGACGTAGAGTGAGGGGCGATATGATAGAGGCGTATAAATGGAAGTCAGGGCTGAACGAAGATGATATAACAAAGGTACTCAAACTATCCAACCAGGAGCGAACTCGTAGCAATGTTTTTAAATTAGACAAATGTAGATATATATTATTATTATTATTATTGAGTGTGGTGACACATTACCTTTGACACGCAGGTAATGTTACTGTTTATTACCTTAACGTGATGAACACAGAGATAGTGAGGTGCGCAGACCATCACCCACCCTGCCCTCAAGGTCGACTTGGCCATGAAAAGTTAAGGTTACCTTCATATATGAGGCATTTATTACACACACACACACACACACACACACACACACACTTACTGCTTGCTTACTTGTTCACTGGTGTTTTGTCCATTAGAGTTGTTTTGTGTTCACTGTTAATCTCTTGTCTTCACTTGTTTTCATTTGTGTTCAGGCGCGTTGGCCAAGACTCCCCAGATCACCCCTCAAGACCCCCTCACATCACCGCCCCTAAGACCCCAGATCACCTCCCCCCCCTGTATTGTGACAGGTAAACAGCGGACAAAAACTCACCACAATGGCCGCTCACATTCTCTTAAAGTTTTGATGAACGGAATAAACTGCATCCTGGTGAAGTAGTTCTGTGAGCCAAGTCTCGTGAGTCACTTAACGCAGTCCTGTTAGTCACTTGAAGCAGTCAGATGAAGCACTTGAAGCAGTTCTATAAGTCAGATGAAGCACCTAAAGCAGCTCTATAGGTCAGATGAAGCACTTGAAGCAGCCATATGAGTCAGATGAAGCAGTTCTGTGAGTCACGTGAATCGGTATCGTGAGTCACTAGAAGCAGTATGAACCAGTATGCTGTCTTGGTCGCGAAGTATGACGAAATGTTAACGTCCGGGAGATAGCGGGCATAATTCTTGAGGCTTCTGGTAGTGAGGCGACCCCGGGGGGTGATGTCTGAGATCACCTGAAACAACGACGTGAAGCAGCGAATCTAAATCTCTCTCACTAACCGCTTCACCCTGATTTTGAGACTTGTGAATCCTCGACACAATGGTGGTGATACAATGAACTCTACACGGCAACAAAAACAGCAATAATAACGTTAATATTTCTAACAACTAAAATCATAATAACTCGAAATACAACAAAAACAACAAGTACAACAACAAATACAACACCACCACAACAGCAACAATCACAAAATTTACAACCACAAGGCACCCGTGACAACAACAACACTGCCTGGCGTCTCATGACTGGTCTGAGAACAGCTTCCAACACGCCATCAGGAGATTAACGATTCATTAACATTTGTTTATGTAAATCACCCGACCAAACCTAACTTGACCCCTTCCCTCTCCCCTCCATATCTCTGCGCGTCTCTGCCGTCTGTGAAGTGGCCTACTTTTCACATCAACTCTCTCTCTTTCACTCTCTCTTTCTTTCTCACTTTCACACTCATTTAGTGTTACTCACTTTCACGTTCACACTCTCAGTTTCTCTCTCTCTCACTTCGACACAAGACTGGTAAAAACACTATTTTTGAAACGTATTTAAAAAGTAAAATTTTATCATCCATTAAGTTACAGAGAGAGAGAGAGAGAGAGAGAGAGAGAGTGTGTGTTATTTTAGGCAGTGACTATACTGTTGCATCTTCCTCCTGTAAACACTCGCCTGCCTAGTCAACACACACACACACACACACAGAGAAGACCATTTTCTTCCTGGTATCGAAATCGCCACACATACATACGTACGTACGCACACACATACGCACACAATCCCAGTGTCTTGAATGGTTTACGGTGTGTGTGTGTGTTGCGTTTATCACGCTTGAGTAAGGCTCTTGAGTGAGTTCATCCTTCTATCTACCTACCAAGTTACCTGGCGGGCCACAACAAGGTCAACAGGTAGAGTCGAGGCTGGGAGAGTCACTTGTTCCTGATCGGTGGTGGTTGTTGTTTCTCCCCCACCTGTGTAGACCTAGGTCCGGGTCCTGGGGGGTGTGTAGGTGCGGGTCCTGGGGGGTGTGTGGGTCCTGGGGGTGTAGGGTGCGGGGTCCTGGGGGTGTGTAGGTATCCTGGGGTGAAAAGAGGTGCTGGGGTGCTGGGGTGACAGAGGGGGCAATACCTGATCGTGGGAGATAAGACCAGGTGACCTTCTGTTCTCTCTCCGTTTAATACTAATTCGCAAGTGGCGGCTGGCGGATGAAAATATTCTACCTTCCTGAGAGAGTCGCTGTCTGCACTCAGTACCCTCTGGTGTACTGAAGGTTGACTGCACTGTGTGTTGTATCTAGACTGCCCCTAACTGGCTGTCTGGCGTGTGGGAACCTTTTATACTTTTCATTGTTTGGTGGTGTGGTGGTGGCTGGGGTAGTGGTGGTGGTAGTAGTGGTGATGACAGTGGTCGTGGCCTGGGCAGATTATGTTAGAAGTGACAAGGCAACATACAGCTTGAGTGACAACATTAGTGGTGGTGGTGGTGGTGGTGGGGGCATCAGTAGTGATAAATGTGAGGACGAGACACACCATACATACATACATACATACATACATACACACATACACACACACACACACACACACACACACACACACACACACATACATACATACATACATACATACACACATACACACACACACACACACACACACACACACACACACACACATAACCAACCCCTTCCGCAGTATATTGTCCACCTCCCCTCCTCCCTCCAGTTAATCCGTCTCTTTCTTTTGTACATATAATTACACTTAATTCCCCGACCTACTTATGACTGTTGGGCATCACATCAACTTATTAACTTAGGAACACTTAATCACCTTAAATAAACTACCTCACTGACACAAGAGACCGCGGGGACATCATATTTACCCGCGTATGTTAAAACAAAAAATTTGGACCGGTGAGGAAGTTAGGAGTGGGATGGGGTGGTGGGTTTTGCCACGGTGGGATCAACAACGCGGCCCAGCCCAGTCATTTAGCGCACTTCCGGCAGCCAGCAGGTGACGGAGTGGCGGCAGTGTGGTCCCGGCCGAGTACCAGACCAGTAGCCAGTGTCCCGTCACCTCCTCTCTCCCTCTCTCTCTCCCTGTCTCTCTCTCGTTCGTAGTGCCACCCGAGAGGATGACATGGTGATTGCGATGGTGGGTACTGTTGGCCCTCTCGTTCTGTAGTGCCAGTAAAGGTGATTCTCTTCACCTGTAGTGCCACTGAAGGGGTGTCATGGTGACCCTCTCCCCTGTAGTGCCACTAAAGGGTTGCCATGGTGACCCTCTCCCCTGTAGTGCCACTAAAGGGTTGCCATAGTGACTCTTCACCTGTAGTGCCACTGAAGGGTTGCCATAGTGACTCTATTCACCTGAAGTGCCACTTAAGGGTTGCCATAGTGACTCTTCACCTGTAGTGCCACTTAGGGTTGCCAAGGTAACTCTTCTTCACCTATAGTGCCACTGAGGGGTTGCCATAGTGACTTTCACCTGTAGTGCCACTTTAGGCTGCTACTGCACCACCCATAGAAAACACTGAGGGTTGCCAGTGACTCTCAATTCAAAGTGCCACTAAAGGGCTGCCATAGTGACTTATTCAATTCAGAAACACTTAAGGGCTGCTAGTTATATGACTCTTCACCTGTAGTGCCACTTAGGTTGCTATAGTGACTTCACCCGTAGTGCCACTGAAGTCAGCAAGGTAACTCTTTCACCATAGTGCCACTGAGGGTTGCCATGAAACCGAAATAGTGGGGAAGTGATGACTCGCCCCCCGGTGCAGACCAGGGGGGGGGCGTGTTGGGGAACGTTTTGATGTGTTGTCCACGTGTTTTTTTTTTTCTTGCAACTCTGGATTCGTTTCCGGATTTTTATGGATCTTTTATTTTACTTCTGTTGTTATTGTGACGGATTTATGAGTTTTTGTGAGTTCAGTGATAATAATATATGCATTTAAATTTCCTCGGTAAGTATAATATTTATACATCAATGTACAGTATCTCAAAATAGTATCTGCCGGGATTTGTCCGATGACTTCCGAAATGCTACATGCAACTTGTTATGTCCCGGGTGGGTTGGTATGCGTGGTTCTGTGTCCCGAAAGGGTTGATATGCGTGGTTCTGTGTCCCGAAAGGGTTGGTATGCGTGGTTCTGTGTCCCGAAAGGGTTGGTATGCGTGGTTCTGTGTCCCGAAAGGGTTGGTATGCGTGGTTCTGTGGCCAGATTGATCCTACTACATTTGGTAAGCAAAGATCATATAAATTACGCCCAAATAAATACACACTGAATTACTTATGTTAAACTGTATACCAGAGTACATGCTTGTCCCAGTATCTACCGTCTGTGGTCTTGTTAGAGATACTGTACATTCCACTGAGTATTATAGTCCAGTGTAGAGCAATTAGAGTACGGGATGTTTATAATGGTGTGTGTGTGTGTTGTATAGGCATTGTTGTGGTGGTGTCTCTATGTCAGGTGGAGTTCCGGTGGATGTGTGTGAGAGAGAGAGAGAGAGAGAGAGAGAGAGAGAGAGAGAGAGAGACCTTGATATGGAACAGCTGCAACTTTTATTGGTTTTGGAGAACTTGTGGAAGTGTTGGTGCAACTCAAAGTTCCCCATAACTCAAAGTTCCCCTGTAACACATAGTTCCCCTATAACTCTCAGTTCCCCTGTAGCACAAAGATCCCCTGTAACACAAAGTTCCCCTGGAGCACATAGTTCCCCTATAACTCACAGTTCCCCTGTAACACATAGTTCCCCTATAACTCACAGTTCCCCTATAACTCACTACGTATTCACCAGAGTAGTGCTGGAGTTCTATAGTTTTGTCATTTTTTCCCAGTTGGGTCTTTTTCGTTGTGGTTGTGGAGAGCGTGGCCACATAGTTGCCTCCACAGTGAGTGAGTGAGTGAGTGAGCGAGCAAGCAAGCAAGCAAGCAAGCAAGCAAGCACAGCATACAGTATTTAACACAGCGTATATAGTATATTATAACAGCGTATACAGTATATTATAACACAGCGTATACCATATATAGCAGCGTATATATATATATATATATATATATATATATATATAAAATCACACGCTAACCTAACTTAACCACAAGTTCACCTAACCATAACCTACCCTAACCCTTGCATGAGAGACAGAGATAATAAGAACATGCTATTAACTAGTTCCCTCCTTCCACAGGCTTTCCTCGCCTCCATCAACAACAAGACGAGAGAGGATAGTAAATCTCTGACGGACGAGAACGAGAACACGGCTGTTCTTGAAGGCGAGGACCGGGTGGACGACGCCTGCCCTCTCGTTCCCCCCAACCACGAGAACACCAACAACAAACATGACAAGAGCCACAACAACAACATCAACAACAATAACAACAACAACAAGAACCACCACCAGGGCCCTCTAGCCAACGGAAAGGTGAAGAATATAGAGAGAAAGTCATCTAGATTTCGTTTAGGATGTGATGACGATTCCGATGACGATGAAGACATTATGCCCGGGGACGATAAAGACGATAAGGACGACCCCGGGGTGGTAAATCCAGCCTTCTTCAGCAGTGAGGACGACGACGAGGTGGGGCGAGGCGACGGTTCCACCACCTCAGCCAGGTCGTCCCCTGATCAGTCTCCTTCACCCTCCTCCAGACTCAACTTCAAGTGAGTCCCCCAACTGTTGCCTCCTGTTGCCCTGTTATAATTGTCTTCTTTCTGTTGACCTGTTATATCTTCCTGTTGTTCTTCTATTAGAGTTGTGCCTCAGAGATTTTCTTCATCTTGAACATTTTCTCTGGGGTTCCATCAATTAAACATTGTTCTCTTGTTGTAAGTCTCGAGTGTTTTAGTCTCGTGTTGTCTCTTGTTTGTGTTCACTCCGTCACAACTCCGTGTTATGTGTGTAACTTTGTGGTCTCTGTTGACCCGTGTCTTCCCTCAAGCAGCATGAGTCCCCGTCCCAGCCCCCGCCACTCCCCGGTCAGCCACCGGTCGGGGAACCTGAGCCACCGGAGCTCTGTGTCCTCCGTCAGGAAGGGCATCCTGAAGAAGAGTGGCTCCTCCTCCACCATCAACATGGAGATGGTCAACTTGGGTCTGCAGCAGAACGCGGCGGCGGCAGCAGCAGCGGGCAACACCGCAGTCGTGAACGGGTACCAGAGAGCGAGATTTACAGATCCTTACGACGACAATTTCGTCCCCGTCGACACCCACCGCTTCGTCGGGTAGGTCCTCGTGTTGTGTATCTCGTTTGTTGTGCTTCTCGAAGTTGCCACAGTAGAGTTGACTCAGCCCCCAATTATCTTGGTTACTGTAGGCTTGACACAGCATTTAGCTGGTCACTGTAGAGTTGATCACTGTACTCTGTAGATCTGCCATGTCCGGGCTAATGATCACGTCCATCCATAATATAACTTCAGCTTGGCCTCAGATCTTCCATCATATATCATTAAGAAGCCGTAAAGCACGAGTGTGAGCCTCAGTAGTTATAGTAGAGAGTTTCTCTCACTCCCTCACTTTTGCACCTCCCCACCTCCTCCCTCCTCCTCCACAGCTCCTCAGAAGAATCCAATTACGTGGCTCAGAAGTCTCTAGGAGGACACCGGGTCAAGTTCATCCTGGAGACCGGCAAACCTGACCACGTGCACGGCTCCTACGACGACATCCGGATAGAGAAGATGGAGAGAGAGAGGATTGAGAGGATAGAAAGGTAAAGTAAACACAGAGGCTCCTTACCTCAACTGACGGTGGGTTGTGTATGTTTGTCTTGTTATTGTGGAACAGAACACTGAGAACAACACATCGGTAGTGGTTGTTCCTGCATGTTATTCTTCCTTTGTTCATCTTGGGGCGACGCCTCGGGGTACTGTTTTGCATGTAATGATCAAGTGCATGAAGAATGTTTACGTGTTTACACTTCCTCAAGTTGGTGGTCTCTCAAACAAACTTCTTCATTCCAGAACTCAATAAACTTCAGTCAGTTCTCTTAAACAGACTCTCTTGTATTCTTTTTAAACTAATATTTATCATAAATTCCCCAAAAAGTTTTTGGTGATTTGTAATGATTTTCCTGTCTTTACTTTCAGCATCCCACACACTGTGCATGGCATGCCTCAACTAACACCATTCCCCCCACACACACTCACTCCCACTCACCTTACTTCTGGCGTTGACTCCCACACCTACAATAGTCCAGCTTTAATTAACACCACAGCACAGGTGTTATGGGGCAGCCCTACCACAGCACAGGTTGAGGACACCCCAGCCTCACCCACTACCACAGCCCATGGCGACCCGCACACCACCTCTAGCAGCTTTCTCAACATTACTTTACACAACTCTGCTTCCTCTGTGGGTCATCCTTGTGGCTCTGGTAACTCTCACCCCAAACCAACTTCAGATAAAGAATGTCATCCCCTTAGAACAGAGTCACCAGCTGTCTCTTGTATGCCGCCGCCCGAAGTCTCTGACACACTCGACAAGGAAGACAATTCTGAGGAGACTCGAGACACGACACAACACAAGTCTCTCACTGGACCACCAGACACGGCGCCTCCAGCCAGTAGTGAAGGTAAAGACTTGACTTCAATTGTCGCTCAGAGAAAAGAACTTAAAGCGTTATTGAAGCAAGACTTAGCTAACTTCAGACTCGGTCGTAGGTATCTGGTAGCCAAGGAACTAGAGGAGAAGTTGGCAGCGTTGAGGATTAATGAGAGCGTCGTCCACCGCCTCAAGATCCTGCAGTATCTCCACTACCGGGACCAACTGAAGACCACCAGTAACTGCCACCCGGCACTCCTGCACGACATGGACGGCACTAACTCCCTCGACAGGAAGAAACAGAGAGGCAACAGACAGAAGCTCAGGGGCGGTACAAAACGTTCTCATTCCTTCCACTATGGTGATGTGACTGGACGCTCCCTCACTCCCATACCTGAAGAAGAGGACCACGAGAGGACTAATGAGGAAACAGAGGTGAGGATGATGGACCTTGAGGAACGCCACAACAACAAATTAGACTCTGACATCAAGGACCGACATAGTACTCGGAGACTAAGCGACCTCAAGGAACAACATCGGTTCTCGAACTCCACAAACCGAACGGAAAAACCCGCCAAAACTCGAAAGTTCTTGAAGAAAAATGAGAAATCGGCGTCAGAACCTTCCTTCTTCTCGCCTCAAACTGAGTTACAAGTCGACAACATCAGCTGCCGGTACCTCACGTCTGATAGAGGGAAGAAAGGTGATTCTTCACCAGCCATCACCTGCGGGGGTAATGTGCTGATGATCGAGGTTAACGCTGCCAACAGAGACACGGGGATTTCTGCAGGTGACACACTACCGCTTGGCACACCGGATGATACCGCTTGTGCTGCTGCTGATGGACACGCACACGATGCACCAACGCACGCACACGATGCGACAATACACGCACATGACACAGCAACAGACGAACATGATGCAATAACTTACGTACATGACACAACAACAGACGAACATAACGCAATAACTTACGTACACGACACAGCAACAGACGAGCATGATGCAGTAACGCACATACACGAGACAACACCAAACCCAAACGAGACAAAGACACAGAAAACAGCAAAACACAACACCGCACCACACGGCACAGAAAAACACGACACAGCAAAACACAACACCGCACCACACGACACAGCAAAACACAACACCGCACCACACGACACAGCAAAACACAACACCGCACCACACGACACAGCAAAACACAACACCGCACCACACGACACAGCAAAACACAACACCGCACCACAAGACACAACCAAACACACCCACGACAGCGAGGTGACCAGCATGTCGCCCAGGGGAACTTTTAGTCTACACACTCAGTCATCCCCTAACACCACCACCACCACTACCACCATCGTCACGCCGCCACACACCTCCACCACCAATGGACACGTCAACATTACTCCCGAAAGAACAAGGCTCAACCACCAGTCCAACACGTCCTCATCGTTTCTTGACAATAACCTGAAGAAGACACCGGAGGAGGAACACTCACACGACGTGGTCATCGAACTCCACAACTTACCTGATGTGGCCAGGATCTGTCCACAGCGCCACAGCCGGAGTCAAGCTGATGATGATGATGGCAGAGTCCTCCCTCCCTTGATGACTTCAGGTCCCACCGACTACCTTACCTGGGCAGCTGTGACTCTTCCTGACCAAAGGTATAGATAGATGACCTCGATGACTTGTGATGACTTGACTAACCTTCAAGCTTGAGCTGCTGACCTGACCTGACCTGACCTGATCTGATCTGTCCCTGCTCCCCCACCTCCCACCGTCGCCGCCTCCGCCAACTGCTGAAGTAACCTGCAAAACTCATCTGTATACTTATCGCTTTTCGCCACACCTGGAACACACTACATCTGCAACACGTCACGACACATCTGCAACACACTTCACGATACATCTGCAACACACTACACCTGACACACGCGCCACGACACATCTGCAACACATCACGACACATCTGCAACACACTAAACCTGCAACACACATCACGATACATCTGCAGCACACTACACCTGCCACACACACTACACCTGCCACACACTACACCTGCCACACACTACGCCTGCAACACACATCACGATACATCTGCCACACACTACACCTGCAACACACTACACCTGCTACACACTGCCTGCAACACACATCACGATACATCCGCAACACCCACACCTGCATACACCTTACACACCTGCAACACCCTACACCTGCCACACCCTACACCTGCAACACACTACACCTGCAACACACTACACCTGCCACACACTACGCCTGCAACACACTACACCTGCAACACACATCACGATACACCTGCAACACACTACGCCTGCCACACACTACACCTGCATCAAAAGGCTTCGTTAATTAATAATGCTTCCTTGCTTAAGCTGATCTACCTGAGTATACTCATGTTATATCTCCTCAGGTACACTCAGGTATACTCACAGGTACACTCAGGTATACTCACAGGTACACTCAGGTATACTCACAGGTACACCCAGGTATACTCTCAGGTACACCCAGGTATACTCTCAGGTACACCCAGGTATACTCACAGGTACACTCAGGTATACTCACACCTGTAAACCTGCATGACTTGTTTTTTCTCCCCAGAGCTGACTAATGCATCAAGTAGAAATATTGTTGTTTTTGTTATTTGAGGATGCATGGTGTGTGTGTGTGTGTGTGTGTGTGTGTGTGTGTGTGTGTGTGTGTGTGTGTGTGTGTGTGTGTGTGTGTGTGTGTGTGTGTGTGTGTGTGTGTGTGTACGTGTGCGTGCGCGTGTGTGTGTGTGTGTGTGCGCGTGCGTGTGTGTGTGAACACAGGTCAAAACACCTTCCTTCCTTCATTCTTTTTCCTGTCTTTGCTCCTTTCTTCCTTCCTCGTTGTGTACTGTATATCTTCCTTCTTATCCGCTCGAAGACAAACTGGGCCCCTGTTGCCATACACACACACAGATGCAAAAGGTATCCACTACTGATTGTTGATACGAGTCAATTATAATTTATCTTTATCCTCTGCCATGTTTGTTTTGGAGATGACTCGTCTTTCACAGCTTAGATAATTGTCAACCAAATGAATAAACCTTCACTCAGACATAATGATACTTGTTGCTTTATATAAAATACATGACATCAGAGTTACCAGTTCACTAGGATTTAATCTCTGGATCTAATAAATGTCTTGTTACATTTATCTATGATTTTTAGTTAATTTATAAGATATATTCCGCCATATTATTTTGTGTTTGAAGGAGAAAAACGTCGATTTGTTGAGGTAAAGAAAGATTGAGGTGAGTTAGTGTTTCGTCTGGGCGGGAGAGACCTGTGTGTGGAACTGTCTATATTGACATCCTATATGACCCTGGTGACCTCTGACCTGACCCTGGGAGTTAGGGTGGGAGGAGCTATCTGTTGTCAGTCTGGTAAAGGGCAGGGCAGGGCAGGGCAGCAGGAGGTAGTGGTGGGTATGTGGCAGCAGGGTATGGCAGGGCAGGGCAGCAGGAGGTAGTGGTGGGTATGTGGCAGCAGGGTATGGCAGGGCAGGGCAGCAGGAGGTAGTGGTGGGTATGTGGTAGCAGGGGTATGTAGCAGGGCAGGGCAGCAGGAGGTGAGTGGTGGGTGTGTGGTAGCAGGGTATGGCAGGCAGGGCAGCAGGAGGTAGTGGTGGGTGTGTGGCAGCAGGGTATGGCAGGGCAGGGCAGCAGGAGGTGGTGGTGGGTGTGTGTGGCAGCAGGGTATGGCCAGAGACAGGGCAGCAGGAGGAGTAGTGGTGGGTGTTGTGAAGGTAGCAGGGGTGTATGGCAGGGCAGGGCAGCAGGAGGTAGTGGTGGGTATGTGGCAACAGGGTATGGCAGGAGCAGAGGGCAGCAGGAGGTAGTGGGTGGGTATGTGGTAGCAGGGTATGGCAGACAGGGCAGCAGGAGGTGATGGTGGGTGTGTGGTGGGGGTATGGCAGGGCAGGGCAGCAGGAGGCCAGTGGTGGGTATGTGGTAGCAGGGTATGTGGGAGCCAGGGCAGCAGGAGGTAGTGGTGGGTGTGTGGCAGCAGGGGTATGGCAGACAGAGACAGCAGGAGGTAGTGGTGGGTATGTGGCAACCCAGGGTGTGGCAGGGAAGGGCAGCAGGGGAGGTAGTGGTGGGTATGTGGCAGCAGAGGCAGGGCAGCAGGAGGTAGTGGTGGGTATGTGGCAGCAGGGTGTGGCAGAACAGGGGCAGCAGGAGGAGTAGTGGTGGGTATGTGGCAGCAGGGTATGGCAGGGCAGGGCAGCAGGAGGTAGTGGTGGGTATGTGGCAGCAACAGGAGATAGATCAGTCATAATGTCTCGCTTCCTGTGTGTGTCAGTCTGATTGTCATTCCACTTGTACACACTGCTCCTCCCTGCCCTCCTCTGTCATGACCACCTCCCTGCCCTCCTCTGTCATGACCACCTCCCTGCCCTCCTCTGTCATGACCACCTCCCTGCCCTCACCTGTCATGGCCACCTCCCTGCCCTCACCTGTCATGGCCACCTCCCTGCCCTCACCTGTCATGGCCACCTCCCTGCCCTCACCTGTCATGGCCACCTCCCTGCCCTCACCTGTCATGACCTCGCCTCGTACTGAAGGGGTTAATTCATCATACCTGTTGTTTAACTAAGGTGTCTGGTATAAGTAAGCTCTTCATAGGACCAGTACCCAAACCCATCACTCCAGCAGGTACAGTATGTTTTCTTCCCGGGTATTGTACGTGTATCTAGTTGTGACCTGTGTTAACCTCTTTAAACCTTTAATAACTTGTGCTTCAAGTTTATAAGGGATTCATTCGTCCTAACTTGGAGTACTGCTCTCATATCTGGGGTGGCTCTTCTTCCGTCCAACTGTTAGATAGGGTGGAATCAATGGCATTTTATCTTATTAACTCTCCTCCTTTAGTTGATAATGTCTGTTATCTTTCTCTTCGCCACAATGTTGCTTCACTCTCTTTTTTACAGGTACTTTAACGGGCAATGTTCGGTGGATCTGGCATCCAGTGTACCGCCGGCAAGGCCGTGGGCTCGTAACACACGTCTTGCCCGCGGTGCCCACCGTTTCTCTGTGGATATCGGTCACACTAGAATAACCCGTTATAGTACATCCTTCTTTCCTCACACAGCCAAACTGTGGAATGCTCTGCCTTCTTCTGTGTTACCATACTCATACAATCTGTCTCACTTTAAAAAGCTAGTGTCCCGGCATCTTCGTGGTGTAGATTAATATAGTCTTTTTCTCTTCTCTTTATAATTTATTTTTACTCATATTTTTCGCCCCCTAGGCCCTGTTGTTGGTCGATGACCTTCGCCAGGGTGGGCTGTTCTCCGTAATATTTATATACAGTATGTATATATACAGCACAGGTACTCGTATGTCTGTAATGTTCTGTGCTAATCCTTATGGACCTGTGTTGACCTGTATTGTCCCTTATTGACTTGTGTTGTACCTTACTGACCTTTGTTAACCTGTAATGACCTGTATGAACTTTTATGACTTTTAGTAACTTGTGTTCACCTGTACTGACTTGTGTTCACCTATAATAACCTGTACTGAACCTTAATAACCTGTGTTGACCTGTGTTAACCTTTACTGACCTGTGTTGCACCTGTACTGATCTGTGTTGACTTATGATGCACCTGTACTGACCTATGTTAACCTGTGTTGCACTTATACTCACCTGTGTTGACCTTCGCAGCGGGAAGAACCTGGAGGTAACCAACATGACGGGGGACAAGGGCGGGAGGAAGTGCCTGCTCTTCTGTGCCGCCATGCTGGTTCTCACTGGCTCTGTCATCGTGGCCGGGCTCTATGGTTGTAAGTACTGCACCTCCACCACCTCTTACTTGGTGGATAGATAACCACACACCCCCACTTGATAGATAGATAGGTAGATAAAGTGTGCTAACTGGTGTGTTGTTTTGCATTAAAAGTGTGTTAATGCATGTTAATTAGCGTGTTAATTCATGTTAAAAGTGTGTTAAGTGGTTGGTGTTATGTTACAGCTGGGAAACTCAAGAAAATCACAGACTACGGCCAAGGTATACAGAGCAGCAGTCTATATGACGGTGGTGATGGAAAGACTACTACTACCTCCCCGACTTTGTATTATGGTTAGTGTCTGTCTGTGTGTCTCTCTCTGTATCTCTCACTGTCTGTCTCTGTCTCTCACTGTATCTCTGTCTCTGTCTCACTGTATCTCTGTCTGTCTCTGTATCTCTCACTGTATCTCTGTCTGTCTCTCACTGTATCTCTGTCTGTCTCTGTCTCTCACTGTATCTCTCACTGTCTCTCTCACTGTCTCTCTCTCTGAACCATTAAACACACTAATTTATGTCACTATCATCCTCAGTTCCCAACGCCATAGAAGTCAAGTTCAAGATCGACAACCTGAACTTTACGAATGAATTAGCCGACACCTCCACCGATACTTACAAGACCCTAGCCACCGTCCTGCAGCGAGAGGTGAGTCTGTGTGTTGGTGTGGTGGTGATGGTTTGTGTGTGTGTGTGTTGGTGTGGTGGTGGTGGTTTGTGTGGTGGTGAAGGTTTGTGTGTGTGTGTGTTGGTGTGGTGGTGGTGGTTTGTGTGGTGGTGAAGGTTTGTGTGTGTGTGTGGTGGTCAAGGTTTGTGTAAGTGGGTGGTGTGTGTGTGTGTGGTGTGGTGATGGTTTGTGTGGTGGTGATGGTTGTGTGTGGTGGTGGTGATGGTTTGTGTGGTGGTGAAGAAGGTTTGTGTGTGTGTGTGTGGTGTAGTGGTGGTGGTGGTCGTGTGGTGGTGAGGTTTGTGTGTGTGTGTGGTGGTGTGGTGGTGGTTTGTGTGGTGGTGAAGGTTTGTGTGGTGGTGAGGGTTTGTGTGTGTGTTTGTGTGGTGGTGGTGGTTCGTGTGGTGGTGAAGGTTTGTGTGTGTGTGTGGGTGGTGTGGTGGTGGTGGTGGTTTGTGTGGTGGTGAGGGGTTGTGTGTGTGTTTGTGTGGTGGTGGTGGTGAAGGTTCGTGTGGTGGTGAAGGTTTGTGTGTGTGTGTGTGTGTGTGTGGGTGTGGTGGTGAAGGTTTGTGTGGTGGTGGTGAAGGTTTGTGTGGTGGTGAGGGTTTGTGCGTGTGTTCGTGTGGTGGTGAAGGTTTGTGTGTGTGTGTGTGGTGAGGGTTTGTGTGTGTGTGTGTGTGGTGGTCAAGGTTTGTGTAAGTGGGTGGTGTGTGTGTTTGTGTGGTGGTGAAGGTTTGTGTAAGTGGGTGGTGTGTGTGTGTGTGTGGTGGTCAAGGTTTGTGTAAGTGGGTGGTGTGTGTGTGTGTGTGGTGGTCAAGGTTTGTGTGTAAGTGGGTGGTGTGTGTGTGTGTGTGTGGTGGTCAAGGTTTGTGTAAGTGGGTGGTGTGTGTGTGTGTGGTGTTTTAGGCAAGAAGTGAGTGTTTGTGTGTTTTTATGGCATTTTTTACCACATTTGTTTATGATTTGTGTTTTTGAATACCTCTTTAATATATTGTTCAGTGTATGTGTGTGTATGTGTTTTTTGTTTTAACACACACACACACACACACACACACACTACTGTATAACCTAACCTAACTTCATCTTTGCAGCTGGAGACCACGCTCATAAGTACAGACGTTCGGTACAATGGAAAAGCCAAAGTGGTTCTCAAGATTCTGAAATTTGAGTAAGTTTTACCCACATTTTCTTATTATAACTTGTTGTTGTTCATGAGCGAGGTATCTAGGTCTTTGTGGTGGTTGTAGATGGATCATTTTGACTTAAAGATCAGGTTAGGTGTCTGTGAGAACTGTACTGTACTGTATATTGATGCATTAATTATGATAATACTTTAAAATCATTTATTTGTAATAAATATTTTGTATATAACATCATAATAATAATAATAACAACAAATACAACGTAATATACAACTCACCATCAGTATTTTATGAGTGGATGCTTCATACTCACATCATTTGGCTCAGGATAGTCAGTCACTCCTACAGTTTACCTTGAGCATACATAGCCTTTCCACCCACCACCACTCCCTCAACTGAACCCTTCTTTCCTGACAGAACTTTCAGGGTCGGAAGTATCACCTGCACCTTCAGGATAGGATGGAAGTATTACAACGAGCAGGACAACGGCCACCAGACGGCGCCCCTTAACCTAACCATCGTGAGGAAGCGGTTAGACACCAAAGTGGAAAACGGTTACATGTTGTTTAACGAGAAGTACAGTGTGCCCCGAGACTCTGTTATTGTTGAGAGTAAGTCATGGGTTTTTAATACTCTACTGCACTGTGCTGTACTGGTAGTTTAGCATTCTGTAGGGTAGTGGTAGTGTACTGTTAGTGGTAGGGTAGGGTAGTGGTAGGCAAGGGTAATGGTAGAGTAGGTTAGTGGTAGGCAAAGGTAATGGTAGAGTAGGTTAGTGGTGGGGTAGGTTAGTGGTTGGGCAGGGTATTGGTAGGGTAGGTTAGTGGTAGGCAAAGGTAATGGTAGAGTAGGTTAGTGGTAGGGTAGTGGTAGGGTAGGTTAGTGGTAGGGTAGGGTAGGGTAGTGTAGTGTAGGGTAGTGTAGGTTAGTGGTAGGGTAGGGTAGTGTTAGTGGTGGGGTAGGGTAGGGTAGGGTAGGTTAGTGGTAGGCAAGGGTAATGGTAGGGTAGGGTAGAGTAGAGTAGGGTAGGTTAAGTTAAGGTAGTGTTAGAGGTAGGGTAGGTTTGGTTAGGTTAATGTCAAGTTAAGTTAGTTTAATGTTAGGTTAGTGTTAGGTTAAGATAGTGTGGGGTTAGGTTAATGTTAAGTTGGGTTTGGTTAGCATTAGGTTCGGGTTAGGTAGTTCAAGTGAAGGTTGTAAGTTGTGGGTACGATACAACTCTAATATCTTGAGTGATAAGACAACAGTAACATGGTGTTGTATGTTACAGGGCTGTTGGATAAGTGTCTCAACAACCAGTCGCAGTGTTCTCATGGGTGTAAGTTCTCACGTGAGGAACTGCGCTTTGTCTGCGAGTGTCCTGACTATCTCTACCTCATCAACGCTACTGTGTGTCAGGACCCAAGTGAGTTATCTCTCTCTCTCTCTCTCTCTCTCTCTCTCTCTCTCTCTCTCTCTCTCTCTCTCTCTCTCGTGCTTAACCTTTCTCCCTACTATTCCTAATTCTTGTTTATATTGCTTAAATAAATCCACTCGCTTCTTATTTTTTTATTATTACTAATATCATGAGATTTTTTATTCAAGTATTTAGTTGTTATTTAAATGATTATTTTTGTTGTTCATTATCCAGCTGCCTCCTTCATCATCATCATCATCATCATCTTATACAGTATATGCATGACAGGTGTATAGATGTGGGATTTGTGTGAGTTGGAGGTCAGGTCAGGTGATTTTGGGTGCTGAATAACCTAACTTAACCTAATCTAACCTTCCCTGTCCTTAGCTAAATTAACCTAACCTAACATCTAAGAGTTTCATGTTACAACGTAGTTTAACATGGAAATATTAACATCTGTTTTTTCTCTCTCCCTTTCGACCTAACCTAACCTAACCAACATTACAGGTCAGTTAACGACTAAGAGCTCGACCACAACCACTACTACCACACCAGCTACAACAACCACCACTACTACCACACCAGCTACAACAACCACCACTACTACCACACCAGCTACCATACCTAACCCACTGACTACTACTGATACCACTACCAACACTAACACAACATTGGCCACTGAAACCACAACTGAGGTAGAAACCACACGTGATATAGAAACCACAACTGAAATAGAAACCACACCTGATATAGAAACCACAACTGAAATAGAAACCACACCTGATATAGAAGCCATAACTGATATAGAAACCACACCTGATATAGAAACCACAACTGAAATAGAAACCACACCTGATATAGAAGCCACAACTGAAATAGAAACCACACCTGATATAGAAACCACAACTGAAATAGAAACCACACCTGATATAGAAACCACAACTGAAATAGAAACCACACCTGATATAGAAGCCATAACTACAAATAGAAACCACAGAGTTAGAAACCACCACAACAGGAGTTAAAACAACAGAGTTAGAAACCACCACAACAGGAGTTAAAACAACAGAGTTAGAAACCACCACAACAGGAGTTAAAACAACAGAGTTAGAAACCACCACAACAGGAGTTAAAACAACAGGTTAGAAACCACTACAACAGGAGTTAAAACAACCGAGTTAGAAACCACCACAACAGGAGTTAAAACAACACAGTTAGAAACCACCACAACAGGAGTTAAAACAACAGAATTAGAAACCACCACAACAGGAGTTAAAACAACAGAATTAGAAACCACCACAGCAGGAGTTAAAACAACAGAGTTAGAAACCACCACAACAGGAGTTAAAACAACCGAGTTAAAACCACCACAACAGGAGTTAAAACAACAGGTTAAAAGAAACCACACAACAGGAGTTAAAACAACAGAGTTAGAAACCACCACAACAGGAGTTAAAACAACAGAGTTAGAAACCACCACAACAGGAGTTAAAACAACAGAGTTAGAAACCACCACAACAGGAGTTAAAACAACAGAGTTAGAAACCACTACAGCAGGAGTTAAAACAGAGTTAGAAACCACTACAGCAGGAGTTAAAACAGAGTTAGAAACCACCACAACAGGAGTTAAAACAGAGTTAGAAACCACCACAACAGGAGTTAAAACAACAGAGTTAGAAACCACTACAACAGGAGATGCCACAGACAAAAGTGTTCCCAGCTAAGCCTCCCACCTACTGTAACAACACTGAACTGTTCTTTAATCCATTTCCTCCACTGCAAAGCCTGAATAGAATCACTCCACCCCTCCCCTAGGCCACGCCCTCACCTACTGTACCTCCACTTCCCCCTATGGCCACGCCCTCACCTACTGTACCTCCACTTCCCCTATGGCCCACGCCCTCACCTACTGTACCTCCACTTCCCCTATGGCCATGCCCTCACCTGCTGTACATCCACTTCCCCTATGGCCATGCCCTCACCTACTGTACCTCCACTTCCCCCCCTATGGCCACGCTCTCATCTACCTGTCCACTTCCCCCTATGGCCATGCCCTCACCTGCTGTACATCCACTTCCCCCTATGGCCACGCCCTCACCTACTGTACCTCCACTTCCCCCTATGGCCACGCCCTCACCTACTGTACCTCCACTTCCCCCTATGACCACGCCCACAACTACCTCCATTTCCCCCATGGCCACGCCCTCACCAACTTTTAATGGTAAAAACTAAATATTAGAAAACTACTCTGATTATTTAGAACACGTGCTGACAAATTAGAAAACACATCATAATTGACTAGGAAACACTTTATTAATGAGAGAATTCATATGGTTAATTAGGGGACACGTGTGGTTAATTAGAGAAGACATGTAGTTAATTAGAGAACTCATGGTTAATTAGAGAACTTATGGTTAATTAGAGAACACATGTGGTTAATTAGAGAAGACATGTGTGGTTAATCAGAGAATACATATGGTTAATTAGAGAACACATGTGGTTAATTTGAGAACACGTGTGTGGTTAATTAGAGAATACATATGGTTAATTAGAGGACACACATTGTTAGAGAACACGCATGGTTAATTAGAGAATGCACATTTTTAATTAGAGAACACATGGTTAATTAGAAAACTTGCTGGGTTAATTGCAGGATGCACATGGTTAATTACAGGACGCATAAGGTTAATTACAGGACATGGTTAATTACAGGATGCACATGGTTAATTACAGGACACATGGTTAACTACAGGACACACATGGTTAATTACAGGACACATGGTTAATTACAGGACACACATGGTTAATTACAGGACACATGGTTAATTACAGGACACATATGGTTAACTACAGGACACATGGTTAATTACAGGACACACATGGTTAATTACAGGACACACGTGGTTAATTACAGGACATACATGGTTAATTACAGGACACATGGTTAATTACAGGAAACACGTGGTTAATTACAGGACACATGGTTAATTACAGGACACACGTGGTTAATTACAGGACACATGGTTAATTAAAGGACACATTTGGTTAATTACAGGACACATGGTTAATTACAGGACACATTTGGTTAATTACAGGACACATGGTTAATTACAGGACACACATGGTTAATTACAGGACACGTGGTTAATTACAGGACACACATGGTTAATTACAGGATGTACATGGTTAATTTCAGGATGCACATGGTTAATTACAGGACGCATATGGTTAATTAGAAAACGCCTGGTAGATTAGAAAACACGACATTCATAATCTCGTCTCAAGTTATTATTTTTTTTAAACAAACTTAAAGAGAAGTAAGACCTTAAGAGTAATGATGCAGTAATTGAATGAACAGGTTGGGCTGGGAATAAATGCCTGATTAAGTGTATTAAAAAAAAATATTACAAGGATATTTGGAAGACAACAAACTGACCTTGTACACACACACACACACACACACACACACACAAACATACATACATACATACATACATACATATATACATACCTGTATTTACTGTATTACTTCAGCTACAGGTGTCTCCCATGTTATGTAAGTACCATTACAGTATAGTACAGATGTCACTGTAACCACTGTCTTCGTGCTGCACCGTATTGTAATACAGTGTGATACAGCACCTGAGTATACTGTGATGTATTGTTTCAGGATTTCAGTGAACCTGTATTAATTTGTAACAGCACCTCATTATACCTACTGTAGTACTGTAATCACACAACACCTTCCTGTTACTACTATAACTACTGTAGCCACATAAAACACTGCTTTAACTACTGTAGCCACATAAAACACTACTGTAACTTCTGTAGTCACATAAAACACTACTGTAACTTCTGTAGCCACATAAAACACTACTGTAACTACTGTAGTCACATAAAACACTACTGTAACTTCTGTAGCCACATAAAACACTACTGTAACTACTGTAGTCACATAAAACACTACTGTACTCGAGAAATCCTCAGGGTAGCTGCAGTGTTAAGTAAATGTTCTCTACATGAACACACTGAGCTGCTCTTATTAAGCATATAAATGTCAGTTTTATTTCTATAGTATTTAATCACGTTTTATGAGACAAGTTATACGCTGTGAATATAAGTTAACATTCTGATGCTATAAAAGTCGTAAAGTTACATCGATATATGTATTAGGAAGGAGGTGTTTATATTTCCCACCAAAGGTATGGGACAGGTACAGTGTATACAGTCGTTATGGTAACATGCTAATGGGGTGTTTTGTTCTTCAGATCAGTCAAGGGTTGCAGCAGCCACCACCTTGACCACTGTGACTTCGACCCCCTCCACGACAGAGATTACGTTCAAAGAATTGTTCAACAACGTCTTTAGCAAACAGCAGGGTAAAGCCACCTTCCTTGGTATAAAATCAGAGACGACGGAGACAGAGATTGAGGTGCCTCCTAAACTCTCTGACCAGGATTCTTCAGCAGCTAACACAACGGCCGCGGGTGATGCCAAGCTTATACCTGATGGCAGTGTTGTCAATGGTACCAACACTACCAGTACCATCGCTGTCAGTGGTACCAACTTTACCGATACTGATATTGTCAGTGGTACCAACACTACCAGTACCGACACTGAGGGAACAGTCACATCTTCAATTACACCCACTAATGTAACTAGTGAAGGAGTGAGTGTTAGTGGGAGCCCCACTGATGTTGGTACTTCTACTTCTGAAGGACTTACAACTAATACCACTAATGTCACAGTCAGTACAACTGGCACTCTTGGTGAAGATGTTGCCATGGAAACAAATAAAACGTCAACAGCTGTTGATGTGACCTCCCCGGTGGATGACCCAAGCCAGGTCAAGGAGGAGGAGGGTCAGCCTTCAGCCGGGGTGTCTGAGGAAGTGACTAAAGAAACTGAGGCTGAACCTGAAGCTGAGGTTGTTGTTGACATCACACCAGAGGTTATTACTAACACTACATCAGAGGTTGTTACTAACACTACATCAGAGGTTGTTACTAACACCACATCAGAGGTTGTTCCCAGCACAACCCCAGAGGCTGTTCATGACACAACCCCAGAGGTTGTTCATGACACAACCCCAGAGACTGTTCATGACACAACCTCAGAGGTTATTACCAATGCCACCTCAGAGATTGTTAGTAACACCACAGTGGAGGTTACTGCTGAGGAAGTGCCTGCCACTGACACAACCTCCTCCACTACTGAAGCAGCCACCAGCACCACAACCGTACAGGCCACAACAGAAGCTCAGATGAATGTGACGACGACGACGACAAGTAAGACACAGACAAGTGAGGGTGAGGGGCAGGGGGCTCCTACACCACCACCACACACGGTCGACCAAACTATCAAAGTGGCTGAAACGCACAATGAGACAATCACAGGTGACACAGCACCTGAGATGACCACTGAAGACCAGGTCCCTCACCAGCCTTGGGCCAACACCAGTGGCCTCACCCCAGAGATCTATGTATCTCCTGGCACACGTCTGGAGGACATTACAGCATTCTCTAAGGCCCACGCTGGCAAGTACCCCATCATACAAGATCTGTCAGCACTCAGGCCAGGAGACTCCCCTGGGGATGTCCGTCTTCAAGATATGATCTTGCCTGAGGATCACTTCAATATTGTGTCAGAAGTGAGCACGGCTGTGAACACCACCCAAGACTCTATGACACAAAAGGCAGCTCCTGGAGACGGTTCCCATGATGGCCAACAAGCTGCCCACAACACCACAAGTCCTGAAGCAGCGCCTGACACCAGCAGTCATGACGACAGTTCAAGTAAAGTGTCAGTTGACACAGCTGTTATATATAATAATGAGACAACGTCAACCACCACACAGAAGCCTGTTGTCATAATAACAGCATCCAAGGCTGACGAAATTCATGACGAAGTTCCTGAGGTGGAGGAAGATACCTTCAGTAAGGAGGTGGTGACGGTACGAGCCACAGAGTATGAGGGTAACCCGGTGTTTGCTAACAAGACACCACCACCAGTACCGACAACAACAACCACCACTACTACCACCACCACCACCACACCAACCCCTCCCACAGTCTCAGAACTTCCTCAGGTGACTGACAAACCACCCCAGGATGATGCTAACAACACAAACATTCAGAAGGAAGGAGAGAGTCAAGTTCCTGAACCTGACAACACTGACCCAGGTATTGACTTCAGCATTATCTTTGATGCAAGTTCTGATCTGGGCACCATGAGAGGCAACACCACTACTGGCTCAGGAACCTCTTCTATATTGCCTCCACCACCACCATCTGCTGCAACCACCACCACCACAACAACAACAACTCCTTCCACAACCTCAGAGTCATCTAGTGTTGTCGTCCCAGCTGAAGTTGCTGCTGCTGGGACACCTGGGGACACGGGGTCGACCCAGGTGCAGGAGCCAGGTAGTGGTACTGCTGCTGACCCTGACCTGACCTTGAACATCAATAAGGAAGTCAAGACCACAACTGTTTCCACTCCCAAGTTGCTGTGTGGTGAAGGTAAGTGTCGTGTGTAGTGATCAACACAAATAGTTCTCTACAGTATGTTTATGTGCATCTTGGTTAGGTTAGGTTATATTTTGTGTGTTTAATGATGATATTTTATGCTGCCACAGACCAGGTGGAGTGTGTGAACGGAACCAGTTCTTTGGGTCGCTGTATCCCTCGCACTGCTCGCTGTAACTCTGTACCCGACTGTTTTGACATGTCCGATGAATACCAGTGTGTGGAGAACAACTGCTTTGGTAACTTCCAGGTATGTATGTGAGTCTTCCCCTCTACCTACACCACCACCACCACCTACACCACCACTACCTTCACCAACATTTTACACCACCACTACCTATACCACCACCACCACCTATACCACCACCACCACCTATACCACCACCACCTACACCACTACTACCACCACTACCTTCACAACATTTTACACCACCACTACCTATACCACCACCACCACCACCACCTACACCACTACTTCACCTTCACCACCTTCACCACACCACACCTTTACACTACCACCACTACCACCACCACCACCACCACCTACACCCCACCACCACCTACACCACCACCACCACCACCTACACCACCACCACCACCTACACCACCACCACCACCACCACCTACACCACCACCACCACACCACACACCACCACCACCTACACCACCACCACCACCACCACCACCTACACCACCACCACCACCACCACCACCACCACCACCACCACCACACCACCACCACCACCACCACCACCACCACCTACACCACCACCACCACCTACACACCACCTGGGAAGATAGATATAGTAGATAAAAAACTGGAACTATTATTGGGATAACTCATTAATAGGAACACACACTTGATTCTAATTATTGGCTGTGTTTTTACAGTGTCTGGATGGTGAGTGCATTGAGAGGCAGTATGCGTGTGATGGTGTTACCAACTGTCGAGATGGTGATGACGAACTGGATTGTGGTAAGCGTCAAGCTCTATGCATTTTTTTTCATTCTCTATGCACACACATACACTTTATCTCTACACACAAATACACACACACTTTCTCTGACTATGCACTCTTTTTCTCTACACACCCTCTTGAGATCTACACACTCTGTTTTTGGATCTACACAGTCATGTGTCTCTCCACGCACACTCTTTCTCTGTCTCTTCATCTGCCTGTCTTTATAACTGAGTATGTAAGACTAAGATTCGCCTTTTGATAACTTTATTAAAATTACAAATACAATGTTAATGCTAAATGTTAGACTCACTGAGGCAATATATACTGTACTCTAAAACATTTTGAAGAATATTGATAATTTTTTAGACATGGGAACCCTGTTTAATCCACTATCTTCCTCCTTCTCTCCCTCCTCCTTCTAGACTCCTGGCAGTGTTTAGCGGATGAGTTCAAGTGTGGAGGAATGGTCCCGTCTCCCTGCATCCCTCTCTCCCTACACTGTGATGGCCAGCCTGACTGTATTGACCATTCCGATGAGATGAACTGCAGCAGTCAATGTCCTGAAGATAGCTACAGGTGCCCTGAAGATTGGTGTATCCCTCTGGCCAGGACCTGTGATGGCACACCTGATTGTCATGGTGGAGAAGATGAGATGAATTGTGGTGAGTGGTGGTGGAAGGAATATGGTTGTGGTGAGTGGTGGTGATGGAAGGAACATGGTTGCGGTGAGTAGTGGTGATGGAAGGAACGTGGTTGTGGTGAGTGGTGATGATGGAAGGAACGTGGTTGTGGTGAGTGGTGGTGATGGAAGGAACATGGTTGCGGTGAGTGGTGGTGATGGAAGGAACGTGGTTGTGGTGGTGATGGTGGAAGGAGCATGGTCGTGGTGAGTGATGGTGGAAGGAAAATGGTCGTGGTGAGTGGTGGTGGAAGGAAGGGAGATGATGGGAGAGTAATAATGAAGAGGTGTTGTTGGAGAAAGTGAAAGTATGGGCATTGATGATAAAAAGTGATGAAAGAGGAAGGGTGGAATGGGGGTGATGGAGGAAGAGTGGAGATGGAAATAAGGTGATGAGAGATTGATGATGGAAAGAGGAGTGATAATGATAAGAAGTGTAAGTAAAAGAAATATATTGAAGTAAAAAAAAATAGGTGACATAAACTCTTAAGATAGTGCTTCCTTACAGGTTGCTCTGGCCAGGACGAAACATCATGTGCTGTGGGTGGATGTGTACCAGTCTTCAACCTGTGTGATGGTCTGAGACAATGCCAGGATGGGTCTGATGAGTGGCATTGTGTCAGGATAGATAACAGTACACGGCAGCTTGAGATCAGGTAAATTGAGAGTCATGTTCGTTAGTCTAGCTGTTGGTCAAGTGATGTACTACTGTATAAACGAAGTCTTCCCCACAAGACTCCTTGGGTTGTTTACACTTTACATACAATTTAGTTCTTTTGATTTTAAGCACAATATAAAGATATTTTTTTCTGATAGAATTAGTTTTAAAAGTTTAATAATACGGTGTACATATTTCTATGCTAATTATTTTTATTATTACCTATTTGTTTACCGGTACTGTTAATTAATAGTTACGTAAAAATAGAAGCAAAAGGGAGCGAAGATAATGTTGCCATCGTCCAAAAACTTTTGATAAATAAAATGTCACTGCTTGATGTATTGATTAAATGTTGTTGGAATCGAAACTAAAATAAATTAAAGTACTTTTACCCATGAGTGACAGATGACAGGTGATGGGTGACATGATAAATGACAGATGACAGGTAATTTGTGACAGGTGGCATGATAAGTGACACATAACAGGTATTAGTTGACACATGACATGATAAGTGACAGGTGGTGGGTGACAGATGACACAAGTGACAGAGAAGACATATGACATGATACTATACATAGCTCAGATCCTTCGGGAGACACAAAGACACTACTGTAATATGAACTTGATTTACAGGAGCGGAGAGAACAGGTGGATGGCCGTGTGTGGTAAAGGCTGGACAAAGGAGTGGAGTGACGTGGCCTGTGAACAGCTGGGTGCAGCCGCCTCACTCAGTATGGAGGTGAGACGAGTGGACGAGGCAGTGCCGCGACCTCGAGTGATGCTGGCACCCAAGGCGTCACCCAGGTCACTCACCCCGCTACAGTTCGTTCTTAACTCGGACTGTACGAGCGACTCTCTTGTCCTTCTCTCCTGTGAAGAACATAGTGAGTTAAATATGTTATTTTGTTATAGATGAAGTGAACATAAGAGATAATTTGTTATAGTTGAAGTACATAACAGTGCCTCGGATGATTTTTTATATGGATAACTTTCATTCAAAAATAATTATTAGTTTTATACTGTATTTTGAGTTTTATAAAAGATGTGGCAGTGGTTAATGGTGATAGAAAAATAAACCTTCTCCTGTTTGGTCTTATAACCATGACACCTCTTTATTCTCTTCTCTGTCCCTCTTACCACATTCATATAAGTACCTCACCTCACTGACTCTAAATTCCTCTTTCTACAGCGTGTGGGTCGTGGAGCGTCGGGGATGATGTGCTAGAGGAGCAATACCTGCCCGCTGGAGAAGTGAGGCCACCTATCACGGAAGGACTATGGCCCTCGCTGGCACTCTTGCTCAGGACTCACCCCAGCAACAACACTCATGCTCGCACCGAGTCCTGCACTGCCTCCATCGTCGCTCCTAGCTGGGTCCTGGCCGCCTACTCCTGCCTCGCTGCTAAGTATGGTTCCTCCTTCTATTTGTTATCTGCAGTTGAATCATTGCATTTATGGGTAGTTGCTTTTGTTGTGGATAGATAGATAGATAGATAAGATAGCTTTCAATAAACAGCAGTAGATGGTTGTTTTACTGTACCTGTACTTGTAAATTGCATTAGACTAACTATATACCATACAAGGTTCTTATTACTTCAAGGTCCCTCATCTTGTTAACACCATTACTGGTAGATTCCTTTAATACAGTACTTTAATACTTTACAGTGGTTTTTGTAAGTCAGAAAATCGCTCAAAAAGTTCTTGCAGTCTATTTGAGATCATTGTGTTGTCAGAGAAAGGAACTGCAGGTTTTAATAAGACTTTGCAGGGATGATGTGTTGTAAAAAAGAGTGAAACATTGGCTAGTGTGATAAATTAGTTGGTTTTGTGATTGTATAATGAAAGGTCAATTTGGGAAGCTTAATGCCATGTGTAAGAGCTTGAATATTGTAGAATGAAAGGTAAATGTTGAGAAGTTTGATGCTAAGTGTATGACTTTGATTGTTAATATAAGAGAAATTAGTTGGTGTTAACACAACAAACGTGAATTAAAATATGCAAGGAAGAAAGAATGATAAGTTTGTGATAGGTAAAGATGATGGTGGAAATAGAGAGGTTAATGAGGGTAATAAGTGTTATGAACAAGGAAAGAGGAAGGAGGGAGGGATGGTGTTGAGAAAGGGTCCTGCATCTGTGTCATGTGTTTCACTATTAGGAAGTTATTACATGACACCAACACTATAAGGCTCTTGCCACAGTTCTACCTGCAATTATATTTTTATATCTATATAAAGTTTCCATATTACTATTAATAAATAAGTTCGTTGGTGGTACTGTACAATGGTAACTACTGTGTCATGGGTTTAAGAACTGCTTGGCCCAGACACATGCAAAAAAGGGTGTTATCCAGTGTGACCCTTACCACTTTGGCCCAGACACACATTAAAGGGTCTTATACAGAGTGATTCTCATTACCAAACATGACATGTTTCCTCTGGGCACATCATCTTCCCCCTGTATAGTACTAACATTGGAAAAATAAAGTTTAAAGTAAAGTAATAAAGAACAGACCAACCCCAAAAATGGCTAGTAAGCTGATAAGTGGTGAAATGATGAATAAAATAAAATATTTATCACCCCCTTCAGAGAGAACGGGCTAGACGCAGGCACCTGGGCTGTTGTGTCAGGGGTCGCCACTCCCACAGTCACCACCAAGTTCCACTATGTAGCCAAGATGGTCCTCTTCCCTGGCACTGTGAAGACTGGTGGGCTTTGGACTGGTGATGCTGTGTTGCTGCGGCTCAACACTCCTCTCCTGGGGCCAGATACTCCCGTGGGTCTGAGACATAACACACAACCAATATGTGTTCCTAATGGTCCTCCTGCCAGTAACGCCCATTGTGTGGTGGCTGGATGGACCCACTCTGAGCACGGTAAGGTTTAGAAAGTTAGGAATAATATTTTTCTTCATTTACTTACTTGGTGAATATATCTTTATTGATCCCATATAATCTCTGAAATATAAGCTATGATTAATGTTTAGTACTATTTATTTATTAATAATATTCACTTATTTTAATTGTTTTTACTATCTTTGCATTTCTTTCTCATTGAAAACAAATATAAAAATAATTTTTATAAGTCAATAAAGAAATTAAAACAAATGGAAAATACCAAATAACATAGTATTAAATTTACCAAAATGAAGTAAATGTTACACTAATTTATACCATCTTACCTCAGGAAACATTAGGGTGTTTAGTTGTAAGGTGAAACAAGCTGGTGTTCCTAATCTTCATGAGATCCTTGTTCTGTTTATACTAAGTTAATTCTTCACATTACATTATTTCAAATCAGTCTTACTGTAAATATTGTGTTGAGTCATTAGGTTTATTTGTGCCTAAATTATCACAAGTAACAACACATATATGATAATGGTTGCCCCTGGTGTTGGAGGAGGCCAGCCCTCAGGCCATGAATTTGTTTATAGTGTAGAACTTGTATGACCCAGTGTTAAGGAATAATCCAAGAAGACTGAGCAAATCACAAACTGCACTGGCTAACCATTACCCCGGAACACGATCCACAAATCGATTAACATCCTGGTTCCTAATTTCTGCTGGGTAGACAGAGACAAATGGCATAAAAAAACTTTTCCATCTTATAATATGGTGATTGACCTATGAGACACCCTGTACTATACATATCTCAAACGGTTTTTTGCCGTCATAAATAAAGTGTTGGTTGCTTGCAGGGGTGGACGGCGTGAATCAGTTTCTTCACTATGTGCCCGTGCCCACCCTGGACCTTGATGCCTGTAACACCACCCACTACCCAGGCCGTCTCAATCATGCCCATACATGCATTGGCTTCACTGATGCCCAACATGCCCCCTGCCATGTGAGTATGATTGCCTTATACAGTATACGGTATTGATCACAGCATACCTCCTATCATGTGAGTATATTTGCCATAAAAGTATACTCAGTAGAGAAAGTTGGATAAAGGTTGTGTAAAAGAGAATGAAGAAAGAATGTGTATGTATTATAGCAAACAGTGAAGGAATAATGTGGATATCTTTACTTCTGCTCCCTCAATATTGTAACTGGATGAAGCTAAAAGGTAAAGAAAGAGATCATTTACTGTATGTATAATGTTTTAGCCTGTGTATAAGTTTAGTGTTGATGTGTTGGTTGAGGTAATGAAGGCAAGACTAAAGGTGAACAACACTGAAAGAATTTACCAAATGAAACTTTTTTATTTAGATTTTTTAGTTGTCATGACAGCTTAAGTTTTAATATTATTTGCCTCAGACATTTAATACTTGTGATTATTTCAAGCAATTAAAATAAAAAAATCAATGTATTTTTAAGTTTTTTTGGAAAGATAATTTTTATATACAGTACAGTTACAGTGTACTGTAATTATATGTGAAGAATTTTAAGGAATTTGAGTCATAAATTTTATATTAGTAAATTTTTTTTTAACATTTTAGATAATTTTTCAATATTTGTGAAGATTTTTATGAAATCTGGGTCAGAAATTTTTTATTTGTGAAGAGAAAAATAGACTTTTGAATTGGTTTCAGTATTTGTGAAGATTTTTCAGAAATTTGAGTTGTGGTAACCATGGGTGTTTTTATCACAGGGGGACGAGGGCAGCCCACTCATGTGTCGTAGTGAGACGGGGGCGTGGCGGCTTGAGGGTCTCCTCACACACCATGCCAGGTGTGGCCGAGCGAGACACCCGGCAGTGTTCACGGCTCTCCACGCCCTCCAACCCTGGCTCAGTAACACCATAGGTACTCCATATGTGCCCAGCTTTGTCACTACCACCACCACCACCACAACCACAACCACAACAACCACATCTACAACGACCACACCGACCACCACTACTACCACCACTAATCCCCCAGTCCAGCAGTTTGCCACAGTCAACAATACCACAGCCATCAAAGAGGCCTTGCCACCTGTGTCCTCGCCCGGCAATGCTCCACTATAGCGACTACTGGGGCTCTAGTAAGACTTGTGAAAGGTGCCATACGTGCTATGAACGTGCTATAATATGTGCTAAAACCATTAATTACATGAGGATTTAAAAGCTACAAATTGTTATTATCCATTACTGTGATCATAATATACTGTAGCTGTATCTAGTGACTTACTGGACATTATTGATAAGTGTACACCGAGCCACCCATAGACCAGGTGGTAGCCAGTGTGAGACAAGACAAGTAGTGCCTTGGGGTAATATGTTGTGATGTGTGAGCTGCCTTGAATAAACTGACCCACACAAGGTGCCATGTTGGGATCTCAACTCTCACTGGTGCTGCCTGAGTGAAGCATCAAAATTTTAAACAATACAGTGGCAAGATGTATGTGCAGTTCAAAGCTGTAAAATTATGATGCTGAAGGTGTGTTGAAAGTGAATTTTTTTACAAGAGTTTTGTAGTGCAATTGATTTGGAAATTACTGAGAAAAGAAAAATCTTGAAATGTGAGTTGCTTGATACAAACAGTGAGGGGAGAGCAACATTGATGGTGAGAAGCTACAGCTGCAGCCTCCTCCAGTGTTAACCAAATACAACACTTCAAGCGAAATAACATTATCACATTTTCTACCGAGAGAAAAAGTGAGCTTATTGTCATACACGGACCAAACTAACGCATTTATGAAGCTGAACTATCATGAGTGAGATTGTGATGATGATTATGTTGTTGTGGCCATGTGATTGACAGGTTGTGTGTGTGTCTGGGAGTGTGAGCTTAAGGCTGTGAGTCGTGATGGCCGATATCACTCCAGGATAGCATTATATATATATACACATGTTTTTATATATATAGCACTCGGCCTTAAGACCCAGAAACCGCCAATCACGTTATACATTCATAACACGGGTATGAAGCAGTCACTAGCGTACTGTAGAATAGGTTACAGGGGCCATCCATGCCAGGGTGCAGGACCACTGAGAACTAGCATGCAGGGTGTGAAGGAGAACCTTCTTATACTTAGATGGTTAGTGACCTTATGATGGCTGGCTGGGCTGATATGTGTGAAGACATCTTAACAGGTGTACGAGACGTAGTACCGCTTTCTAACTAAAAGCTGCTAAGATGTGAAGGTTGAGTCTCAGCTGTGAGGTAGAGTTTAAGGAAATCATTTAGGGTTGAGAATACAGTATGTGAACCTCCTGCCAGTACAGTATTCTGAATCTTGTATTCAACTTTACCTGAGTCAAGGTACAGAGATGCAACAGTATGAATCGAGACATTGAGGTCAGACGTAGGAAAACGTAAGGCGTGTTGATGATGATAGTGATAATGATGGTGTCAGCCCAGTAGTCCAGGTCACACAGTGTTCTCATATGATGAACATGCTAGAAAAATAAGAGACATTTGATAGGTACTGTATAGAAGCCATGAATCATGATACAAATTTAAATTAGCAAAGTCAGTTATGTGTTTTGACACTATACCTACAACTTACCTTAGACACAGTGATTGAGGGGATCTTGATTCACAGGTAAATTAAGCACATCAAGGTGTAACATATTTTGAGCTTATCCACTGTTTGGTAAAATTAAAAAAAAAAAATCGGCAATGAGATCGGATTTTTTTTGTAATAGTATTTGTTTACTCCCAAGAGATCTGTTGTGTGTGTGTGTGTGTGTACACGATCTACATATATGACAGGCAAATATTTTATTATTTCATAAATTGACAAAAATGTCAAGTCCCCAAAATACTGTTGGTGCTAAACTTGTTGTATGCAAAGTAATGGTTAATTAATTATTTGACTTCAAAGTGAAATTACATTTCCTGGCCTCCTGATTAGGTAAAAGACAAAGGATGTAATTCAGTGCCTTCCAATTGGCTGAAAAAGTGTGATATACTGTAGTATTATTGACTCCTTTAATTGGCTCAGAAAGAAGGTAGAGTATATTCAACTCTTATGATTGGCTGGGAAAGAGAGTCTTATCATAATACCGCCTCCTGATTGGTGTTCTTGGAGGGTCTTGTGCATCCTCCTATGGTCAAGATGGACCTGTTGTCTTTGGTTGTTTACAGCTCATATATATTCCCATAGTTTACACATAAGACAATTGCCCATAAAGACACTGCTATTGAAACTCTCACTCCAGCTGTACGTACGTGAGATTTCTTGTATTTTTTTCTACTGTATATTATGAAACCATATTGTGTGCTCATACTGTACATAAACTTGTATAAAGTGTCATTACTCTTAATATTATCATTTATATTATATTTCTTTTATCTTTCTTTATTAGGTATATTTTCTTAAGCATCTACTATGACACACACATATATATATACTGTATATATATATATATATATATATATATATATATATATATATATATATATATATATATATATATATATATATATATATATATATATATATATATATATATATATATATATATATATATATATATATATATATATATATATATATATATATATATATATATATATATATATATATATATATATATATATATATATATATATATATATATATTAAATATATGTATATATAAATATATATATGTATATATATATATATATATATATATATATATAACACATATATATATATATATATATATATATATATATATATATATATATATATATATATATATATATATATATATATATATATATATATATATATATATATATATATATATATATATATATACATAAATATATATAAAATATATATATATATATATATAAATATATATATATATATAAATATATATATAAATATATATATATATATATATATATATATATATATATATATATATTTATATATTATATATATGATCAACACCTCAACCAGGATTGAACCTGACTACCCATGACTGTGACAGGAATGCTAGCGTTCCTGGTCACAGTCATGAGGCGAATCCTGAATCCTGTTGAGAAGTCAGGTGTGATTTTATCAAGAATATATATATATATATATATATATATATATATATATATATATATATATATATATATATATATATATATATATATATATATATATATATATATATATATATATATATATATATATATATATATATATTATACCTGTATATATATTCCCTCCCCTGCTCCCCTCTCTCTCTCTCCCCTCTCTCCCTCCTAAAGTATGTGATATTAATTAGCTAGCAACAGGTCCTAATGATATCTAGCACAAAGAGCTCAAGTTAGCATAGGATATTGGACTATATTGTATCATACTGTTGGTCCCAGTAACATAATTTGACAGTCTTTTGTTATTTCCATCATTTATCACGCTCTTGTATCATTCCTCTCCATTATTACACCTGTTTGATTATTCCCTCTATTTATCTTTTCTTTACCTGTTATGAATAATTGTTATGTCTTGTTTTTATTGATAATTTATTAATCAGTTTTTATGAATATATTTGAGATAGGTTTTAAAATTTATTTGGGGGATAAGTTTTAGCAAGTGGTTATAATGTATTGTTTTTGCCATGGCTTTATTAAGACTGTAAATTATTATACTGTAGCTCTCAAAATATCCAACATGGTATTGAATATTTTTTTTATTTATGAATATTTGGATAGTTATTATAGGTTATCAAAAGTCTAGTTCATTAATACAAGTGTATACCGTACTGTACTAACCAGATGACAGCGATCAACACGAGACAAACGATACTGTTCTGTATTTCCCGTTAGGATCTTTTTTACTCTTATGGGGCCGTGTCAGGTTATTGTGTGTGTGTGTGTGTGTGTGTGTGTGTGTGTGTGTGTGTGTGTGTGTGCGTGTGCGCGTGTTCTTCTTCACACATACACACAACCACAAAACTCTGAACCCCTAACTTTACCCATTAACAAAATCAAGTCCTGACACCACCTCTAACTTAACCAGGCTATTAACCTTGTAAAATGAGTTAAAAAAATAGTAAACATTCTTCAAGTTATGTTCAGATTTATTATGCTATATATACACGACTACCACCACCATCATCACTACCACCATCACCACCACCATTACTACCATCCCCAGACCAGATAAGTGTATTCTCATTACTGCTCTTACCACTCAATCACTTTTTTTTTGACAGTAAACTACATTAATTCCCTCAATAATTCCCTCATTTGATTATACGGCCAATTCTTACTGTCAGTTTGTGTTCGGGTAATACATGGTCAAGCGGATTTGTTGTTGCGACTGACCCAATCTGCTGTATGGTTTGTTGACATATCTCAAAGGAATTTCTCACTTAGTGTCTTATTAAAAATGTGATAGATCATCCAATACCTGCCAGATATATTTAACCCAAGGCCGCATCCTCGTAGGTTCCTAAGTTCATTTTTCCCGAGAGAGTAAAAATAATAATAAATAAGGTGTCAAAAATATGCCGATGCTATAAATAACAAGATTATTTCACCTGTCTTCATTTAGAGGGAAAAATAAACAAATGAATCTTTGAGTATTAAGGTTTAGGAATCTTCGTGATGTCCAGGATGTGTCAACGCGTTGAGATTTAGTCCAACTTCTTAGAACATTACTTTGACCTATCATAACACAAACCAGTTGCTCCTCTGTGTGTGTGTGTGTGCGCATTGTGGCCAAAGGTGTGTGTGTGTGTGTGTGTGTGTGTGTGTGTGTGTGTGTGTGTGTGTGTGTCCACCTTCTACCCCACAGTATAGGACCCTGTAGTGTAAGGTGCCATGTAAAACATAGTCATACAAAATAAAACCTTTGTACTGTATGTCATGTGAGTATTATTGTCCCTTTGTCTTACTTGTTGTATACTGTTTAGTGTTCAGGACCTGTATAAAGTGTTCAGGATCCTTATATATATATATATATATATATATATATATATATATATATATATATATATATATATATATATATATATATATATATATGTGTGTGTGTGTGTGTGCGCATGTGTATATTTATGTGTCTGTGTGTGTGTGTGTGTGTGCATATCTGTATGTGTATTTATCTGTGTAGTATACATATATGTGTCTATATTTGTGTGTGTGTGTGCGTGTATGATGACTCGCTAGAACATGACTCATCTCATACGAGTGTTGACTGAAGGGACACAAGTTTACCCACAGCTAAGATTCACTGACACGACCGTATGTAAATATGTTGACGTCATCTTGTAGTTTGGCTGCGATGGTGTTAAAGGAACTATTCTTACTGTAACATCTTAACCAATGTATAAACGACTGTATCTATCTATCTGTAATTAATTTTCTATATTTTTATTTTTATATTCTGTATTTATCCATTTTTCGAACCTGCTACTGTACTTTGTGTAATTTCTTAGCAACCCTAAGAGTTAAATCAATATGTTGCCGGACTTTAGATAAATACTTTCGTTTTAAACACCTATCTTATGAAATTCGTAGATTCGTGAAATAAAACGAATTAGGAATATGGATTTATTTATGAAAAATAAGATACTTTGTGGATGAGAAGGTTGTGTGAGAGACTGTAACAAGAGTTAAGACCTCAAACTACCATAACCTGTGATGTTGATAGTTTAGTGACGTAAGTTACGCTGGTCAGCCGTCAGTCAGTCTCTCGGCCGCAGCGGTGAGTGGCGGATGTTATCAAGACCAGTTTATTTTGTTGTCAGTGTTATGGTAATTACTGTGAAGATTAACCGTTGTGTTTGACGTTTAAGTGAGGTAAGTTAATAAAAAATTTTTAACCATCTGTGCTGCGTAAAATCGGTGGGAAAATAAGAAATGGAAATGACTCCAAACGTCTGGCGATTTGAAATTAATCGTCTTGTTTATAAATAAGTTAAATGTTTTGTTGTTATTGTTTTTATTAGTTTTTCTTGTAATTGTCTTTGTTTCCTTGGCACTACAGTATATAGTTCTATACTCTTGCACTTGTTACTCTAAATAACTATGTTCTAGGTACTCTAAATAGCTCTGTACATTAAACAACAACTATTAAAAATTACTGAAAGAGGTTGTAATGTTTTGCCGTGGTTTTTTTTAATACAAGGGGTAACAGCTCAAGATTGAAGAAACCGAAGGTCCAGAAAACTGCGAGGGCAAATTTTTCGTAGTGAGAGTTGTGAACTCTTGGAACAATCTGTTAAGTGTGTTGTGACGGCACCGAGTGTGAGCTCTTTCAAGACCAGACTTGACCAACACTGGAGCAGGTTCAGGAGCTGGTGCATGCCCAGCACTTGCCAACAATGCGTAACAGAGAAGTGACCGATCGCCAAAGCGGCTAACGAGCCGATCAGTGGTGAAGAGGATAAAAAAGTTCTTTAAAACGTATCTCGGTTAACCCTTGAAGGAGTTGCGTGGTTTAGTACACACGCTATTCATTCTATTTTATGCAGAGAGAGAGAGAGAGGTAAATGAGAAACACGGATAAATCAAGAGAGAGAAAAGAAATAATAATGAACATCATTTTATCTACATAACCACAAACACCCATTATCATTATTGCCAAGACAACCCGGAATGAGGACCCTCATCTGAGTCTGGTCAGGTCTGCTTATCATACATAACGTTAACTCAATCCTGGATAAACTAACAACACCGAATGCAACCACAACACACCACAACATCCTGTATAACCTCTTAATGCAAATATTCTACAGATTTAGTAATGGAATGATGAAGTAGTTTCAAATTATTTCTTATTCGTTTTTCCTTAGCCATAACATAATCCAGTTTTAATGTACGTATTCTGTACCGTATATGGCAAGTGTGATGCTTTTATGTTGTTGTTGACCCGGAAGATTACTATAATCAAGGGGATTTAATAAACTGGAGGCGGCATGACATCATATCCTTGAAGCTACCGCCCGGTCGGCCCCGCCATCCTTGTTGACGAAACTTCCCTATACACGGTGCTGCGGCTCCCAAATTTTGCTCAATTATACCATCCTGTTCAGCAATTAGATGTAGATGTACCCAGAGAGACAGAAGAGGTTCTATAACATTCCATCAGTAAGTATTGAAGTTGTAATTAATTTAATCAATCAAAATTGGATAAATAAGTAATATTACTGGTCGTATGTTTAACTTTGGGGCTGCTGTTGCTCCTTATCATGGGTGTTCACAGATACATTCATATAAAAGTATGATAAAATAGAAGTTATTTTCGAGTATAGAATGAACTGTAATATAACTTAGTGTTATGACCGAATTATTAATCACTAAAATTATCATAGGGTTGACCTTAAGCATTAAAAAATTACGAAAATAATTCATGTAATGTCATTAATCCCGTTAATCTAGGAATGGCCACTACTAGCTG